GCAGCTCAGAATAAAGGTTCCGCCAGGGATACCCCTTGTCCGGATGAAGGCGGCCCCAGTTAAAACTGATTGTGAAAGTTTGGGTAATGAATTTATGAACGGGGTATTTTTTTCGGCTCATGTGACATTTGTCAGCCCCAGGTTCGTAGTACAGGTCACTTGGGACCGCATGGTTTCTTAAAACGGGTTGTACATTTGATGGGAGTAGCTTCTTCGGTGTTGCTATCTATATAATCACATCGCTTCTTAGACATTGTCGACCCGGAGCTTGAACCACTTTACAGTGGGTAGATTCACACTTACCCTGGCCAGCCACTATGGTCAACCCTCCTCAGCTTTGTTCCATGAATTACTGCACCGTTTATTAGCCCATCCCTGGCTTTACATGAAAGACAGCGACTGTGAAGACGAAAAGCGTTGCTGCCTTGACAGTGCTGATGCGTAGCCCTAAGGGTCCAAGGACCCAAATCATAGGGCTTTAGGGCCCAAATACTATACTATAAATTGCATTCGGGCGCTAGAAGCCCATTATTTGGGTCCTTGGACCCCTAGGGTAAGGGAGGGTAAAGTGTGGGTGTGGTAATTGAGAACCGGGGTTATGCATGGTTACGGGGCGTGGCGCCTGCAAACATCTGCTGCAGTCCTACATAATTAGCCTTTACGCTCTTTCAACACCCCATTTCAAGCTTGGGTTGCTGCAGAAAGTTTCTCCGCCCACAAGTGCGCTGTAAGTAAACCCTAAACCCTAAAACCCTAAACCCTAAACCTTGCAACAATAACTTCAGCTCAGACGCGCAGGGGGTTATTCGTGTGTCTGGGCTTGGTAAAAGCATATAGGGGTTTCCCGAAATTAAGGGTACCTTTTGGGGGTCCCAATGATAAGGATTATAGTATTTTGGGACTACATTGGGGTTCCCCTATTTTGGGAAACTACCATATAAGAATGAAGCCCACCAATGCTAAGCTTTCAGAGGAACGTGCCGCTGTGCATTCCCTCTCAGGGTGTGGAGGGGGGGTCTCATTTCACAGGGAAGGGACTTTAAGCACAAGAAACGGCTACTTCTTCCCCCCAAGGGTGCGTGGTAAATAGTAACAGGAATCAGATATGCTGTGGAAACAAAGCGGGGGGCATGACTTTGAAACATATAGTCCCCCTTACATAGATAGAATATGGGGTATATGGGGTTCTTATTCTAATATACCCAAAGCCATATTCTATTTATTTAAGGGGACTACACCTAAATCTTGAGCGGCTTGGTCTCCAGGCACGGGTGCTACTTTCTGCCATAGCTTTTTCGGAGGGCTTAGCCGTCCCATCCAGCTGAATGAGGCTCGGCTGAAGTTCTTTGATGGGGAGCTGTTCGAAGCTGTCTTTGTGCACATCAGGCCCGGCTCAGAGTCAGAGGGTTATATAGGGGTTTTATGGGGATAATGGAAGAGAAGTTGGAAGCTACTACATATGATTTCGGGTTTAGGGTTAGAGGGTTTTGGGTGCTTGGGCTCGGTGGTTTGCGTCTGCGGGACTTTTAGATGTAGGTTCAGGCTTTTGGGCTTGCACGAACATTCCCGGCTCAAGGAAGCACAAGAAGCACAGGGGCGACTGCCATATGCTGGTTGCAGAGACAGTGCTGACACAGTGGAGTACATTCTGCTGTGTAACTGCAACGTTTGGCGGTCATTAGCTCATGATTAGTTGGCTTCCCTGTCAAAGCTTAAGGTTACAGCCCCTCACCGTTTCCGATGCTTTTTACAGTTTGGGTTTCCCGGCACACTGGTCACCTTAGGAGGTCCAAGGCAAGGATATGCAAAATAGGAACTCCCCAAAAAGGGACTCAAATTTTAGAAGCCCCTATCAACAACATTGCCTCTGCAGTTGACATGATGCCAGGGTGCGATCCCTTCGTGCATGACCAGACATGGTGGTTTTTGAAAATTTGGGGTCCCTTTTGGGCATCTCTAAAAAGGGCACCTTTTCAGAAAACTCTGGTCAAGGATCCCTGTGTTTTCGAGTGTGTAAGGCGACCCCTAGCAATCCATAGCATCTAGTGACTCTAGTGCTGTCAGTTGAGACTTGAAGTGCGTGCTCTTTGAGACCAGGTGAATCAGCTTGAAAAAAAAACGGACGGCCGTCTGTCTGTTGACTGTTGACAGATGACCTGCGGACGTATTTTCGGACTCCATTGAAGCCAGGGGACTTCTTTTCTGGACAGAAGGCCCATCCAGCTTTGAAATCTGTTCCACCCATGTAGAGGTGCAGGTGTCAATCCCAAAGTCTGTTGATTCCGAAGAAAAACCCTAGTTAAAGCCAGTTGAAGCCTCCATCGCGGAAATTCACGGGAATATGGAAGACCTATTTGGGTTTCGAGCTGTGAAGGCTTGTTAGTTTTATTGCAGGGGCTACTATCATGAAGTGGTACAGTAGTCTTCGCTGCTAGCCCCGGAACAGCTGTCTCTCTAGGCCTCTTTATGAAGTGGGACAGCAAGCGGGCCTGGTGGACTCAGAACTTCCAGAAACCGTTCAACCCTCATACCGATACTTGCAAACAATCCTATACAACACGGGTAAGCACACACGTTCCATCCTACCTGTGCAGTGGATAACCTCTATACGTCTAGAGTAATGTAGCAGCCAATAGAAACCCGAAGGACAACCCTTGGAGAAGCACGAGATACGGGACACTTCCTACAGATCCACATAGCCCCAAGGTAGTTGATCTGTAAAGTCTTCGGGGCCCTAATGTGTGTAGGTGTCACTTGCATACCTGGATCTCTATATAACCCCAGTTTCCATTCAATCTTCCATTTTCTTTTGCATTTGATTCTCCATTCTGGGTATTATTTGAATACCTGGATCCCTAGAAAAACCACAATATATAGCCCCTATTATACTATTGTAGTTTCCATTTTCTTTTCCATTCTCCCTTTACAACCCCAATATAACCGCTATAAGGCGGACGCGGGGTCCTCAACTCGTCTAAGTCAGGTGTCGTATCCGCTGGGGCCAGTTTGACTTGCATCAGGCTACCCGGCCGCCAGTTCACAAACGTGGTACAGAATTAGCACCCAGGGAGGTTCCGCATTGAGTGGTTAGGGGCTAAGTGCCGATTATTTGGGTCCTTGGATCCGTTAACGAAGCAGCTTGCATGGTTAGTCCCTTCCGCTGAACATTGAACGCCTAGCTTACCACTCCTCCGAAATTACATATTTCCAATCAAGGGCTAGCGCAGCTGGGGGCGAGCATTTACTATGGGAGAGGTTTCGTTTTTAAGGAGGAGTACCTCAAAACTAAAAAAGCTTTTGATGCCGACAGAGTTGTGGCAGAGTTTATGCCATAATCCTTGACGACGCTGCCGTAGGAGTGGGCAGTAGGTTCACGGTGTCATCGGGAGTTTTGGAGCTGAGCTGTGCGAGGCGATCACGCTCCATGTTGACATGTTCTCGGGCTAGACTTTCTTTTGCTATTCCTGGCCTCAAGGATCTAATGGGTCCAGATTTCTCCGATCAGGGCATCCCAGCCTCAAGGTGAGCGTTCCAAAGACTACCTCTGTTTAAGACTGGTGTAGACCATGCATAGATTGTTAGATGTATAGATGGGATTGCGCGGGATATTTGGTCAGTTCAGCCGTGGATTTCCTCAGCGCTGCATTAGTAACAGCCAGAAACTGCCAGGAACTTGAGCAGTTTGTGAACGTCACAAGACCCCCAAAATGCTAGCCTCCGAAACATGTAATCCCAAGCCAGCTTGACAGCCCCAAAGCCGGGTATGTCGGAGCCTACATATGCGCAAGCTGTTGTTGCAGGACTCTTCAGCGTTGCCGACCGTACATGAGAACAGAAACTGGGACTTTCGCCTTTACCATATCGTCCATCTTCAAGACCTTCGCCGAAACCCCAAACCCGCCTACCTGAAAAAACACTTACCTGGATAACCCGGAACTTAGGTGACAGCTGTCGCCCAACATCTCGTCGCAGCTTAGCAGGATGGATGTTCTATGACTCCATGTTCAGGAAATTTAGTTGGTAGACCTTATTACAAACATGATGTTTATGACTAGTACGATTACTACTATTAACCTTGGCTACTTTCAATATTATTAGTATATTTACTATTGTCAGTCTTACGCTACAGAGCCTATCGGTTTGGGGGTTCGTAGTTGATGGAGGTTTCGGGTTCAGAGCTAGTGGTTTGATGTTTTCAAGCTGTGGGCAAGCGGAGTTGGTTGGTTTGTAGTACGTAGCAAACCTTAGGTTCAGTGTCTGGGTTTTAAAGAGGAGGTTTCAGTGGTTGAGGCGCAGGGTCTAGTGTCGGCACAAGATTTCAAAGTGCACTTGAATAGATCCAAGTTGGGGCCCTGTTTTTGCATTCCCCAAAACACATAGCTTCCAGGCAAGAGCCTGTGGTCATGCGTTCGGAGGATTGCTGGTGTGGAACGTCACCTAGCTGGGTCTGCAAACCTGAACGTTTAAAAGCAACGTCAATGACATCTGCGTGCTGAGTTCGCAGCTGTTTTGACTTCATGTTCCAACTAGGTCCCTTTCAAAAAACATATTGTACATCCCATGTCAGTGGCCTTTGGGCAACCGAAACCGTTTAAGCTTCATTGGCAGAAGGTGGGAAGGCGTGCTAATCGGTAAGAATGACTGCGACGTGACCTTGCCAGGAAGTTTCTTCGTAACTGCTTTCGTGCCAACTCTGTCTCACGTGGGGATTTCAGTAGCATGTATCCTGTTGTCGGGTCCCGCTCCTGGGAAAGGCAGTTCCGAAGAATTATGGTAAACTTGTTCAAGATAAATGAAGCAGCAACCAACAAGTCTCTAAGGGTCCAGTACCCGTTGTCATATGCTACCCCAGGACCTGCAATCATAGGGTTTAGGGGTTTAGGGTTAAGGGTACCCAACCATTGAGTGATCGGATAGTTGAACCCTGTGGGATTGTTCAGATTTTGATGTTTACTACTGGTCTTATTACCATTACTCTTAGTATTACTATTATTAGTGTGTCAGGGCACCCATGTAGTTCCTTGTTGGTTTCGTTATATTTTTGGTAAAGGGTTTTTATACTACCCAAAAAGGAACTACATAGGAGGGTCTGGGTAATAATATTTAAGGCAAAACAGATCCAGTTTACACCTACCCATGGACTTCCAAGCAAGGTGCCAGGGTTGCGGATGTCCCTATCAATGAGCACATGAGCCGTACTCTACACTCCTTAAAGGGGATATATATATATATATACACATATATATATATGTATATGTATACATATTTATATAAGAGGAGTATATAGGGGACTACTCTAGGGGTTATTAAGGGGGATACTGGGAGTTTAGACCATAGCTCACATGCTGCTGCGTCTAAGATTGAACGGTCTCTTTGTCTGCCCATGTAGCTTCAGGATCGTCGGGAATGTGGGCAGGAAGGGGCGGCGTTTAAGGGTACCTAGACGTCCGAATAAAGCTCCGCGTTTTCGTGTGGATCTCCATCCTTACAAAATAATGTTGCAATTGGGCAGACATCTCCCCCCCCCTCCAAGAAAAAAAACATTAAGTTAACGGCTCTAGATAAGCGTGTCTTTGCACGAGGGAGGCGCCAAAGAGATGAAGGTACTATTACGATTACTACTACAATTCTTATTAGCACTCTTTTATTTATTATTACCACTACCAATATTTCCACTATTCCTATTACAATTGTTATTACTATTATGAGCATTATTCTTGTCATCACTATTTTGATTGTTATTGCCATTATTCCTGCTATTAACAGATTTAAAGGAACCAGCCTCTAGCCTCGAAGCTTGCTGCTACGCCTCAAGGTCCAGGCCACGCTGTTTCATCCCCTCCCCCTAATAACAGTAATATTGCCCCCCGGGTTTAGGGGTTAGGTTTAGGCCCCCGCCCCAATATCAAATAGTCCCGCTGTGGTGTATCATATTCTGTTGCGAATTTTTGATATTATGGTGTGCGGGGGCGGGGTTTAGTATGAGGTGGAGGGGGTTGCGCGTAACATTGCCAAAGTCCTGAGTAATTACCAAATGCTGGGGCAGCTGGAATCTCTCAGCTCTTGTCTTTGGCTTAGGCTGCAAACACTGGGTTGCTGTTAAGGACCTTAATTTAAGTTAATATACTGGGAAAACCATATCAATTACTAGATATACCCATGAGGGTAACTTACCTTTAAATCCTTAGGCAGCAACCCAGAACAGTACGCGCGCATGGCCAACTCAGGATCTGAATGCCATCGACCAAGATGTTTTCCGAGATGTGCCCTGGTGCTGAGGGCTTTGGGTAGGGCAGGTGGTTTGGCGATGCATGGTTTCGGCCTAGGGTTCAGGGCTTAGGGTCCAGGGGTTTTGGGGCATCGGCTTTAGAGACTTTGGGTAACTTATGGATACTGAAGAAGATTCAGAGGCTCTAGCTTGTCCTTGCGAGTTGCAAAGTGTCTTGATTCTGCGGGTCCTCTCAGGCTAGGTGGACCCTAAGCTCACAGGCGCTTAAAGGTGAAGGGAGGGTGAACAAAGGGATTCTTCTAGTAGATTACATAGGGCATAGGGGTCATTGTGCAGATTCACTCCCCCACTCTTGTTTCTGGAGTGCTTGACATGGCCTCAGGGTTCATACAACACTCGCACATTTGCCTTCTAACTTGCAATTGCCTCATAGCCTGCCAATGTCCCCAGGACAAGATGAGCTTGGACCCAGGGAATCATACCTAGACCTCCCAGGAAGAAACCCATCCCTTCGAGGCAAACTGCTGTTGTGATATGATTTACTTGCTAGTACTTTCGAATACTGCTAATATTACTATTATTGTTACTACTGCTAGTGCTGCTGCTGCTGCTGCTACTGCTGCTACTACTATTACTACTACTACTACTACTACTACTACTAGTGCTATCATGTTGGAGGTCTAGGAAGGCCTTCAACTTTCTCACCCCGGATCCCTCGCCTCCACTGTCCAAAATAGCATGCATGACCTATGAAGGCCCTGTGCGTTGCCTGCAGTCTCAGGTGACGCAGTGGCTTCTGCCAAGGGTTGGCAGCATGTCCAAGGCAAGCTATACTTGATTCCTGGACAACCCTACGCATATATGCATAACCGCTAGGTTGCCAGCGTTCCTAGAGTTTGGATAGTGGTTGCTTGGGTCAGGGGGCCTGGCTTGCTTTATGGGGGCCCTGGCACAGGCTTTCCCAGCCGCTTCCGGTGTGTGTGAGTGTTTGGTTCCCCTCTTGTACACAACCTCTGGCTTGATAATTCCAAGGACCCAACCATAGCATTAATGGTATTTGGGCCATAAAGCCCTACTATTTGGGTCCTTGGACCCTAAGGATAGATGTAGCGAGTCTCCTTTCGGGTTAAGTATCGGAGCAGACTCCAGTACACAACAGGGGATCCCTGATGAAGAAGAGTTTTCTAGAGCCCTGAAACCGAGTCCGCTTCTGCGAAGCCACCATCAAAGTTGAAGCTGATTCCGCGACCAAACCCGCCAAATTCAGGACTCAGGCTCATCCCCAATGCGCCCTGCAGCTTAACCTTGCCCCATACCCCAAAAGCCGTCTACTCCCCTAACTCAAGGCCGCCAAATCCCATCAGCCTTCGTCCTTGAAGTATGGCCCCCAATCCATCGAGTACCCCTCGGCCTAGAGAGGCATGTTGTTTAATCTTTGCGCCCGGTGGCCCTGAGAGCCTTCAAGAAACAAGATGCTTGTTGACAAGTTTCTCAACTAAAGGTGCAGAGCTACCGGACCTTCCAATGCATAAAGCAACCCTTAACCCAAAGCCCCTAGATCCCCAAACTCTTAAACCTTCACCCTAATCCCCAGCCCTCTCGTTGAAGCCGCTAAAGCTACCTAGACGAACCGAAGCCCTCACCAAGCCCACTTGGGTGGTTGTCAACATGATGGTCCCTTTTTGGATCCCAATTTTAATACGGCACCTAATATTCAGGGTACTCAAACAACCACCCACTTGAAAGGCAATGCGCCTACAGTGGCTGAAGCTCATGGCCGCTATCGGCCAAAAGACTGATCGGAGCGAGGAGGCGTTGAGTATCAGATTGTTAGCACGGATGCGATATCTAAGCTTGCCGGTATGGGCCCCTAATGTGGGCCCTTAGGCCGTTTAGGAGGATTCTAGCGGACCTTTAAGGGCACATATAGGGTATATAGTAGCCATATAAGGATCCCAGGGTTAAGGGCCCATAGTGTGGGCCCATGGTGGCAACCTTAGATTATAGTCCGCAAAAAGAAAGTGAGACCACACCCTCCTTTCCCTTGTTGTCGTTTCTAGTTTTTAAAAGAGCAGAATCTTGTTTCTTCGAAAACCCAAAACAATAAGATGTGGGAGCATCTCACAAACTTCCCTACAATTACTCCTCCTAAGAATCACCCGCCCACGGATCTTAACAGCAAATACTACCCGACAAAATAAACAACAATTTCAATGTACTGTTTGTGAATCATTTGGGACCCCCTAGAATCTCCCAGAAATCCCGTTATCTCCTTATGGCCCTTATGCGGCCCTTTTAGCGAGACTCCATGCTCGTGCTTCTCGAAGATCCTCCAGGGTATAGGGATACTTATTTGAGCTATAATATCAGCCTTTTAAGGGCATTATATAGTGGACTACCTTATTATGTAGGGGCAAGCTACAGCATAAGCGCGTTTGGGGCTGACAAGGTTTCGGCATTAGGGAAGAGCAAAGCTTGGCATTCGAGGTGTCAGTAGTAGGGTTGAAGGTTTAGGGTGTAGGTAGGGCTTGGGACAGCGAACGTGTTTGAGCTTCTTTTTTTTTCTCGCACCCTGTTGATAGCCTCCCTGAAGGATGAAGACTTCGAGGACAAGTTACGACGCTGGTTCTAAGGCTACAGGTTAGTCATTGGAGAAGGTGGGGTGAAGAGCCTACAAAGGCTTCTACGGGGATGGTCAAGGGTAGAGCGTAGGGTACGTCATGGGTATTTGTCAAAAAAGGGCCCCTCTTGACATGGGGCACGCTTTCACATCCCGGAGAATAAATGCATCTGGAGCTTGCTAGGCTTCACCGCTTGGCCATCGTTTTGAGTTCCATGTGAGCCCTGTGTTCGCTTAGACCCCCTCCTGCATGCGATCTAACGCGTCACCGCTGCGATCAGCAGCTGGACCTGCATTAGAGCTTCTCAGATATAATCCCTATACGATCCCTAATAGGGACCCCATTGCATCCTTTTGTAAGCCCTGTTCAGCCTAAACACTGGTATTGCACTGAGAAACTTTGTTTACGGTCGGGGGTAGGGGTTCTATTATGAGGGCGCGAGGCCCGCACTGTGCGGTATGATAGCCATTATCACCCAAAGCCCCACACGTGGAACTTACTCGAGCACTTCTCAACGTCTTGCGCTGCCTTTGCATGATTCTTGATGGGGACTGTAAAGCTCCTTTTTATTCAGGGTACGCAAAGGGGCACTTTTTGAGCTGTCCCACCAGACACCTTAACCCGGACCCTTAGCTGCATTAAGGAACGCATCCCTTGCCTGGGGGTATCGACGTGGCCAGCTCGGAGCGGCTAATGGTTGGCGGGTTTCCCTAAAGGTCCAAGTACTCAACTAGTGGGGCTTCTAGGGTTAAGGGGTAGATAGGTTATGCAGTTTCGGGGTCCCAGTACGAAAGTAGCGGTACCAAAAGCTATTCTGATTACTTATGGTATTTGAGATTAGGGCCGAACGCCCCATTATTGGGTACTTGGAGCCTCTAGGTTGGAGATTTAGGAGTTTCGGGCAGCTCTTGGTTACTGATTCTGGTTTGGGTCACAGCGCTTTGCTGGGGGTTTAGGAGTGGGGGGTTTCTGATTTCAATCTTCGGGTTTGGCAAGGGGAAGAGATCTGGAATTTTAAGGAGGGGATTGGCAAGTTTTGGGGGCTTAGGGATCTGGAGTATAGCTGTAGGTTTAGGTGTACAGCGTGTATTCATCATCTTGACAGATTGAAAGTTTGAGGAATAGCAGGAACCAGGTACCCTAGTAGAACCCTGTTTCCTTTCTATTTCTGGGGTCCTTATTAAAGCTGAACATGAGGAAAAAGGGTACTCTTATATTATGGGGCTACTTGGGAACCAGGGACTATACGGGAACGGAGCAATACTCAACATTTGAGGGTTCAAGGTTATACACATCCGCATACTCGGGGGACCCTGTTTCGAGACACCCCCGTACGTCTTCACCGGATCATTGCGCCGGGTAATATATTCGTTTGACAGATGACAAGCCAAACGCTGTCGGAGTAGATGGTAATGCTTGGGAGGCTGGAAAGGTTTGAGTTTAAGATTTTTTCACAAGAAGAAAGATGGGAGTTCCAGTTGGTGCTGACTGATGATGCTTGCAACGCTTCATTCTGGCGACGCTCCCGCTGTTTGGGTAGAGCACTTTCCTCAAAAGACATCCTTTTACCATGGTGCACTGGCTCAAGTTCGAGACGTTGCAAACTCAGAACTTTTTCAAGCTATTTGTCTCCCTAGGCCCTAGGCTCTTTGCAGAAAAATGGGGGAGTTCCAGACAGTTGGCATACACAGTGCACTTCAAAAGGGGTACGAGAAACTTGCGGGATGTTTATCTTTGGCACCCGTTTGGCTGTTGACAGCTTCACTTTCCACATCGCCACGGCACACAAATTGCATTTCGACATGCCCGGAGAGGGGTGGGGCCTGCAAAGATTTGTTGGTGACCTTTGTTTGCCGCAACCTCATCAAGTAATTTTCAACGGCAGTGCTTACCAGGGTTGCACGTTTTCCACGGCAGGTAGAAAGATGTAGTCTGCATGAGATACTTGAGGCAAATTTTGACGATGCTACATGAGCATTGCCAGAGCACCTTGTCGTGCGGTTTATGGTGTAGGCGGTGTAGGGTTTATAGTAATAAGAGCTTACGACCAGTTGTGGGAGGTTTGTACATTGCACATAGGTTTCTACCAGCTCAGCGCCGTGAGAGTCCCCATGGCTTTCAGGCTCCATACACGCACATGACCAGAAAAATGTCCTCTTTTCTTCCGATTCCTTCCATTTTGGGCAGTATCAACCCCTAACTTCTAAACCCAACCGTTGAACCCCTCTAGGCCCTGGAGTCTGAACGCTTGACAGCATATGTGGCTTGAGTATACCGAATTAATAGATGGGGGCCTTTCTCGCCTTCGGCACATCTTCAAAGGAAAGGGTCCTTTTCTGGTGTGTATGAAATGTTGTTTTAGATGTTTAGGGTTGAAGGGTTTAGGGTTTAGGGTTCTGAGTTTTGGGTGTGCATGCATTGACCGCCTTGATAGGCAAAGTGGCATAGCACACTAGCTGTTTTCCGGTGCCTTTGGGTACTTGGACCCTTAGGGGTTCAGGAAACGGTAGGTGATTCATTTACCGTGTCCTGAACCCCTAAGGGTCCAAGTACCAAATAATCGTATACATACCCAAAACCTGCACCAGAATTACTATTACTAAAGCCCCACATACCTAACTATTGAGTACACGGACCCTTAGGGAAGCATTCCTTGCGGCAGTTGTTGTAGATGCCTTCCTGCCACAAGAAGAAGATGTAAAGGAACCAGGGTCTTTGTGGGTTTAGGGTTGGATACAATTATTAGAGCTTATTGATTGGTATTACTAAAGCCCAAGAAGGGACTCCTCATTTCCCTAAACCCTATAGACCCCAAACCCTAATCCCCTATCCCAAGCAGAAATGACTGTCGGAATGTTGGGCATAACCCTACGGGTTCAGAGTAAAAAGTCATCATACAAATCGAAAACAGAATATCCTTGCAAGCATACCATCTAACACTGGGAGCCTTGAACCCCCCCCCGTGAAGCCAGGTAAAAAGTGATTTTCGGACATGGCTTCGGAATTTTGGGATTGAGGGCTTGGGGTGCGCAAGCATAGTTCGTATAGTCATGAGCTCATCTGTAATTACATGCAAGCCTTCATTTACCAGGACGACTTCATGGTGTGCTGGGACTTTGTCCGCACCGGGAGCTTTGGACGTCAATTGGGTGATATTGGGCAGGTGGGAGTTTCCGACAATTTCCTGGTCCTAAATCTGCGCCGTGCTGCGTCAGGTTCTTTGGATTCGATGCCCTGAGTGTCTTTTTGTGAAACCAAAGAAAGTCCAGAACGCTCCCTGGGGAACTAAAGGCCCTCATCTTCAGATTCATGGGTAAAGCTCCGATAAACCTTCAAGTAGAGGCTGAGCCCAACCGCGAAATCAGAACAGCAGTCTCTGCATCCAACACGATATAGAATATGACTCAGGACAACCCTTCAACGCTCGAGAGTCCTAAGGTGTTTATAGTTTCATGTATACCCTGAAGGAAAGGCCATTCCCCTAGTCCAAACTGGCAAAAGCTCATAGGCACAAGGTCAAGAGCGTCTAGTCCTGGCACTGGACCCTGAAGCCTAAGCGTCAAACCTGAAATCTTCAGCGGTGAGGCTTCCATATCTGTTAGTTCATCCTGGACATCCAAGTACCTAATCAAGACCTTGGCGCCTCGTATTCCATATGGGTCCTTTTGCCGCATGGAACCTAGATTTTCGGGGCTTCGGGGTTATGCGATTCCGCAAATTGCTGCCCAGGAACTGCCCTCGGGGATCAAGCTGCCGGTGGAATCACCCTGCAAAGTGAGCCAGCATAGAGTTTCTGGCTTGGGGGTTAGGGCTTTAGGTTGGAGAGAATGGAAGGCTCTGGGCTAAGAGTTACAGTAAGAGACTGTAGGGCAGCTTGTTAGCAAGAAGTCCGGAAGACTGCTTACGCCATGTGGGTTTGAGCAAGATTGGCCAAGACTTTGCAGGAGCTCTGCGAGTAACCTTAGTGCTGTCCTGGCTATACAAAAATTAAAGGCTATAGTGTAGTTAAAATATACTCCCGATATAATCCTGCTACCCAATTTCTATATGATTCTGCTGAAGCACTCTTTGAGGTTGCAGTGAAGCTGGGGACAAGGCAGTCTTCTGCAGAAAACGAACTCATGGAGGCGAGCCTTTCACGCGGAGAAAGGGCGTGCGAATGTGCAGAAACCTCTTGTTGCTCTTGTGATTGGCGCGAAGCCACATAGCTTCTGCATCTATCTCCTGATCCCTCCTTACAGTGGGCATTCAGAAGCTGAGCCCATTCCCAAGAAATTAGAACAGTGATCCATCCTCGCACTTGGCACGCACACTCCGCCCCAAGCGGCCCAAGCCATGGTGGAAAGATATGTGTGTGTGTATTTTTTTTTTTGTTTTGTGTGTGTGTGTGTGTTTTTGTGCGTGTGTTGGGGGGGAGGGGGGGGCGAAAGCGCATCTCACCGGGCCCAAGCTAAGAACAGCATTTGGCAGTTCATGTGGGTAGTTGTTCCGGGAATTCTCCCCAAACAGACGCGCGTTTCCAATAAGCGGTACGAATGGATTGCAAATCTATTGTTGCATTTTCTAAAGTTGTAATGCCCCGTAGAGATCGATGAGAAATTGGAAAGATCAACAACGACGCTTGGACACTTGTGAGGGTTTGTTTGTGACCTGGAAGTAACCTTCCAGAAATCTACGATCATGCTGTACTATGTGTAGTTGTTCTTGTGCTGCTTCTTGCAGTTCGTAGCCAAGCCAATCCATAGCTATATAGTATATACTTGAGCCGTAGGGTAGTCAAATGGGAACCACTTTGGGCCAAACACATGTTGTTTATACCTACCCCGAACCCTAAACCCTAGAATGATGATAGCAGAAACAAAGAGGACCCATCAGAAAGGGGAATGGGAGACAAAACAGTAGGAAGCAAGCAAGCTGAAAGCCCAAACTAGGTTTAGGGTTTAGGGCTATATAGGGAGGATATGAGGGTCACATAGGGTTTTTATACGGAGAATGGAAGAAGAATATGGAAAATCCTATTGAGGTTTTAGGGCTCAGTCTTTAGAGGCCTTACTCCCATAATGGTGAATGACATGGCGCATAGAACGGACAACAAAATGGAAATCTGGGTTGCGTAGTGCTTTTTAGGAGTAGTAGCCCAAATAATGCCAACATCATGGCCGAGCTTCATGCTAGACATATGAGCTATAATCTAAACTCCTTAAAGGGGGCTATATAGGGGATTATATAGGGGACTACTATAGGGGTCATTAAGGGGGATACTAGGAGTTTAGACTATAGCTCATATGGCATAATTGCCTCAGACTTCAAAAGGATACTGGTCAGTCTGTCGGCCCTACAGTATTTGCACAGGAGCCAGGGGCATGCACGTGCGATGGAATATTGGGCATGCGTTCAGAACGGCCGGCCTGGTGAATAAGAAGAGGTCTTCCTAGTCTAATTCTCCAGGTCCTCATACATCCGGAACATCCAAACCTAGACCCTAACATCCAACCCTACGCCCTAAACCCCTGTACGCTTGCAGCATCCAAACATTCCACTCCCAAATTCTAGGCTCCAAGCTCGGCCATCCTTGAAGAGACCCTCCTCCCCAAGACAAGCACGTCTACCCTCCTATTTGTCCATTTGTTGGCAGTCCGTCGAGCCTCACAACTGAGGCGCCTGCAAAAAGC